ATACAATAGGGTTCACAACATTTACCAAAAGCTCAGAGAGCAATCAACTCCTAAACGAACTCCGTATTCGGTCAACGCTGACCCTTGGTACGATGTCTTACGCTCCTTTACACCGTCAGAGGTGGCCGAGCAAATCATCCAACTGGACAATAAAGAACGAAGATACACAATCAACCTTAAAACAGAATCACTCGGCAAACCAAACAGTTGGGAGTACGTCCACACACTCTTGGAAATCACCTACTCACGACAACTTCAGTATCATCACATGGCATTTCATAACTACAAAGAGATGATTGCTCGACGGATTGCCACAGAGCTCACTTCGGAACAGGAGTAGGAATGGTTCTACACAAGGAACCTCAACATGCACATCTGAGGTAAAAGCATGCTTTGCCAACACGGGTCATATGGTTCAAAAGGTAAAACCCCCGCAAAACAGGCCCCCACCCTCCTTCCCCTTGCAAGCAAAGCTGCAACAGGTTTAGTATTATCATAGTTGTTGTTGGTGCTCTCAATCCATCTGGCAGTTTGGACAAGGATGAAATGTGCATCCTATGACATTTTGAAAATAATGAATTTGCATGGTGCGGGTGTAAAGACAATAAGCTTTGCAGCCTGCTGTTGCCTCTGGGCCATTCTCTTGAAGTACCGATTTCTTTCGGCCTACGTAGGGTTCAGGTGTTGAAACATTTTGAGCTTGTGTTCCTCAGGACAGTCAAATAGTAGACAACGTATATAGGGTGCCGAGGTATGCGAAATTAAAACCATGCAGATCAAGGATGAGTTTCTCTGTTTTGAAGACAATCTTCTCCATTTCTCGATTCTGCAATGCCGCCTGCTTGATTACCGATGGTATATCTCTAACATATGCTTGGATGATGGGGTCTTTTTCTTTTCTTCTCTGACGGCGCTCTACTTACAATTAACGCTCAGTAGGAAAAGAGCAGATTTTCGATGAGGAATGGATCTTGCAAATTGGTGGCGTTGTGGACATTTCGTAGCACTTGTTCTGGGAGGGTGAACATGGCAATCTGTGCATGGATGCTGGGAGGCGCAAGGTGGATGAAGGATTTGCCTTTCTCGGCAAGTTCATGATGCCAGCCATTAACCGATTCAGAGTAGTCCTGCAGCAGACATGTCGCAGAATGTGTTGGTTGGGTGGTAAGTAGGTGTGGGATATTCATGTGATTTATAGGCATGTATTGCCCTAGGAAGTACAATCAATGGGGATGGGGAATTCATCGATTTTGTATATGCATAGACCTAGACGCTTGAAGAGGGATACGTAGGTGTTCTGGAGCATAGAATTTACAAACCCTGAGATCTAGAACATCAATTAGGCAATTTGCCAAAAGACATACTTAAAGAACGTGTACTTCAGAAATCACAGTCCGCGAATCAACTTTCATACATCAGAGTTAAAAGATCACAACAAAAGAAGTAGAGCACAGGAAAAAGGTAATTACTTTTAAAAAAGGTAATAGAAAAGAAAACCGAAAATCTAATAGGAGAGTTTTCGAGCATCACACCAAATCCAATCGGATATCGCCAAAAACAAGGCATCTCAGCTGAAAAACCATCCATGCCGACCCATCATTCCCAATCCAAAACGTACATCCCCACACCAAATTTCGAATAATGCCAAAAACAGGGCATCTCGACTGAAAAATGATCCATGCCGATCCATCATTCTCAATCCCAAAACATACATCCCCCCACCAAATTTCAAACACCGCCAAAAACAAGGCATATCAGCTGAAAAACGATCCATGCCGATCCATCATTCCCAATCCAAAACGTACATCCCCCCCCCCAAATCTCCAATAGCGCCGACAGCAAGGCATCTCAACTGAAAAATGATCCGTGCCGATCCATCATTCCCAATCCAAAACGTACATTCGTTCACCAAATTTCGGGCAGCACCAAAAACAAGGCATCTAAACTGAAAAATGATCCATGTCAATCCATCATTCCCAATCCAAAACCTACATCCCCCCACCAAATATCGGATAGAGCCAAAAACAAAGCATCTCAACTGAAAAACGATTCATGTCGATCCATCATACCCCCACCAAATTTCAACCTCCTCCTTCACTGGCTTCAAAGCAACCCAACCATCTTCTGACCAGCTACATCGGCCATCAGCCCACGGTTAAGCAGTGAAGATCTAACGGACCATGGCCAAAAGCTTACCATCTACCCGTCCATGTTGCGAGGCTAAAACCACCAAGTCTGCTGATAGCACCTCGCTGGTAGTCCAGAAGGAAGACGAACGCTCCACGCTGTCAAGATACCAAGTCGATCATAACTCCCCGCCATCGCGACCCCAGGTTCCCCAAGGGGCAAGCGAAATCTCCTTCCTTGCAGATTTCTCCCTCCCCACCGTCTATACACTTTAAACTGCCCCTCGCCTAACATTCTTTGAGTGTCATAACTCCTCATCACCCCAACCTCTCCCCCAATTTTACACGCCTCCTTCCCTGTTCCTGGCAGCTCAGAACAAGCTCCGTATCCTACACCCCCCCACCACGCCACAAACCCCATGCTCGAATTCTCACAGCCATGCACCTCACGAACCGCTGCTGAACCCCACCTCCTTCGTAGGAAGCACACGTCACGTCGCTGCGCAAAGCACCTCAGCAGAAGTCTCCATGAAAGAACGCCATGGCTGCCACCTCACAGCACCAGCGCAGAATTCGGGTCCGAACCCTCACAGCCATGCACCTCACGAACCTTTCTGAACCCCACCGCCTTCATACCAAGCACACATCACGTCCCAGCGCAAAGCACCTCAGCAGAAGTCTCCATGAAAGAACTCTCTCTCTCTACTACTACTACTAACCCACTTACCTTGGCGCGACAGCGCGATGGTGGGCATCAGCGGGCGTTGGCGAAGCTCCCGTTGAAGCAAGGCGTCGGGCGAAGTGTGTGTCGGGCGAAGTGCGGTGTCGGGCGGGAGGTCACGAGGGAGGGGACGGCGGCCGCGGTGGTTCCCGCCCAATTTTGAGAATTTGAAATCGCGGCGCATCTGGGCCATCAATCCTGGAGATCGACGGCGCAAATTGGCCCCGATTTCAAATTCTCGAAATCGGGCCTACCAGCCCTTTTTTCTTGAGAGTGTTGGCCTGGACGGCCTCCTTTGGGAGGAAGAAGGCCCCCGGTGTCGAAAACGACCGACCCCCCCCCCCAGCGCCCGGTGGCCAACCGGGCGGAACATCCGGCCAGGCGCTCCCCCCCCACCCCTCCCCACCCTTCTGGGATGCGCTGGGATGGCCCGGTGGCCAACCGGGAGGAACATCCGGCCAGGCGGCCCGCCTCCCCGCCCCTCCCCCCAGCGACCACCAGGTCGCCTGGCGGATCCAGGGACCAGCCTAGATAATATAAAAAATAATGAAAATGAGACTTTGGATATCGATAGAAGTACGAGCGAAAACTCTCCTGACTGGTCAAAAAATGCCTGACTATGGCCTGAGCAACAGATCTGATTGGATGACGTGTTTGGCGTCCTTCGCTCTATGAAAAAAAAATAGAGTCATCCTGATGTACGGTGTTGGTAGGCTCGACCGATGAGGTTAAACCCTGTTCGCAACAAAGACAAACACATGTTTTCTTGTTTACATTTTTATCTTTTTTCTCTTTTTCTTTTTTCCTACTACGCTGTCACTACCTTTAGTGCTGTTGGGAAAAGTGGGAATATAGCCTACACCGCATATCTCGGGGGCTGGGCAATATAGTGCCCGCCGTTGGTAAATTCTGATCGGCAGCCGGCGTTACGTTTCAGCCTCTGACACGTGCGGGGACACACCCCACAGCCGATACGAGGGAAAGGTGGCGATCCTTCAATCATCACACGCCGAAAAATGCATTTTATAATACGAAGAACTTACCGAGTACCAATCGCCTTTTTCACGGACTAAGCACAGCACAACACCTGCCTCGTGCTGCTCTGCTGAGCATGGCGGGACACTGGAAAACACCGGTTCCATGTTGTCCGACAACATAGCATGCACACATACCTTCCGTTTTAAGAAAGGAGGGCGGGTGTGATGAGCAAAAAAAAAAAAAAGAGAGCCTCCGTTATTCTCTCTCATCACTTCACAGACGCCAAGCCGCTGTCGAGTGCACAAACACGTTACACCCTCTGAGGCTAAAGCAGATATATTCTAGAGATTGGCTTTCAAGTTTCAACCGCTTCAACACACATTCACCATTACCCTCACACCACACCTTCCCGTACGCCAGCGGTTCAGCCTCCATGTTCTCATCCTGCTTGGTCCAACTCAGCAACGTTGTCAACGGGTGCACGCGCGAACAGAGCGTAGTCTCATGCCAAAATGAAAAACGCCGTCGCTCATACAAACCCACGAGCTGTTATTGGCCATCTTTACACAATTACTTTTTTTTCTTTTTTTTGCATGTGTGTGCAATCTCTACACAATTGCTATTCTACGTGCAAACAGACCATAGTCTCAGAGGTGAAAAAAAAAAAAGAAGGAAGAAGAAGAAGAAGAAGAAGAAGAAGAAGAAGAAGACTAGAGTCTCAGGCCAAACCAACAACTGCCATTGCAAATATAAAACCGCAAGCCGTTATCGGTCGTCTCAACGCAATTGCTATTCTTCACCCATCCTCTCGCATTCAAGTACCTTCCCTTATGTGAGCGGCCTGCCCTCCATGTTCTCATCTCGAACCTGAAACACTGACAAGGGCACAAATAGACCACAGGCCAAGTACCGAGAGCGAAGGGGAGAGAGAGAGAGAGAGAGAGAGAGAGAGAGAGAGAGAGAGAGAGAGAGAGAGAGAGAGAGAGAGAGAGAGAGAGAGAGAGAGAGAGACACACACACACACACACAGAGAGAGAGAGAGCTGTCTCTTATACACATCTAGATGTGTATAAGAGACAGAGAGAGAGAGAGAGAGAGAGAGAGAGAGAGAGAGAGAGAGAGAGAGAGAGGCTTCCATAGAAGAATCGCCCCGCCGTTATTCTCTATCCTCTCACCACAATTCTAGCATTTCCCACCCATTTCTCCATCTTCCCACCGTCTAGCATTTCCCACCCATTTCTTCATCTTCCCACCGTATCCCATCCACTTTTCACCATTCTCTCCACAACGTCCCACCACTTTTCACCATTCTCTCCACAACGTCCCACCACTTCTCCCATCCTTGCACTACCTCCCACTTCTCCCATCCCCACCTCCCACCACTCCCACCTACTTCTCCCATCCTTCTCTGATTTTCCATGACTTTCTCCACCTTTTCACCATTTTCCACTACTTCCCATCCATTCCCCATCCACATCTTCCATCCTCTCACCGTTTTCCATGACTTTCTCCACCTTGTCACCGTGTTCCACAACCTCCCAGCCTTACAACATCGCTTGCCACTCACTTCTCATCCTCTTCTACCATCTCACCCACTTTCCACCCCTTCTCATCCGCTTCTTCCATCCTTTCACCCAACTGTCCACCAATTCCCACTCACTAACGAGGGCATGGTGGCATCAAGCTTGATGAGCCACATCCTGTTACCAAGTCCTGATAACAAGCCAAGTTCGATGAGCGGGCTTGGATTACTCGCCATATTCATCCAAACCATCTTGTGAACAGCTTTTAGTGCTTGTGAGTCTTGACCCATCACTGCACTGAAAAAACATATGAGGAAAAACAAAAAAAGCCTTCCTCCTTGATCCCTGTTCCTCCATGAACACCTGGCGAAAAAAGTCATTTTGCACTACAACTGTGCACCTTCTCCCCGCTCTCCCCGTCCCCCATCCACCCCCTCCCTCCCGCCTTCCCACTTCCCTCCGCCCCTCTCCCTTTCACCACGTCGCCAAGTGTGGCTCCGTCGCAGACAAAGCACTCGACGTGCAGAAAAAGAATTGACGTGCCCCCATGCCGGCACCGACTGACATCTGGAATACTGAGACACACACCTGTCAGTATCCATGCTTCTGATTCGCTACGCACTGCGCACTGCGCACAGAGTGTGGAGATATCTCCATTGGCAACAGTTCCCTTCGGGGGCATATCGCCATCGCCGACAGTTCGATGTGCGGACGTATCTCCATCAACGACAGTTCAAGATCCTAACGTATAATAGTATACGCACAGAAACTGACATGTTTTGGACATCTAGCAATGATGCTCATCGCACAATCTTTGAGTCAATCTGCTGGATATTCGGAAATTCTCTTCGCAACTTCCCGATGTAGTCTGGGTCGCTCGCCTGCATTGACAAAAATGCCCACAGGAAACACGTAAACTGGTGGTGTTCGAACTCTGGTGAAAGTCTATCGGACATACGAATGACACGATAGATTAAGAAATTCCACAGCAAGCACATCAACCAATGGCAAGTAATCACTGAAGCTGCCCATTGATCCACTGATCATTGAGTTACCGACTACAGACAATAGCCAAATCTGGCGTACTCATTAAACCGCTAGTACACAGCCCTAGCTTTGCTAAGAGAAATTTGTCGCCTGGCCCGAAATGTCGGCATGCCGTCTATGAAAAACATTAGCAGCCGGACCTGCGTTTCGGCCACCGAAAGGGGCTCGCGGCTCATGCATGGCGTGTAGTGGTGGTTTAAAACAGTCCGTTGTTTCAGTGATCATTCAGTACGCATTTGAGTGAGGGAGTGTAGACATACGCAAATTGGGAGGGAGTATAGACATAGTCAAATTGGGAGGTAGTACAGACATAACCAAATTGGAATGGAGTATGGACATGGCCAAATCGGGACAGAGTATAGAAATAGCCAAGGAGTATAGAAATAGCCAAATCAGGAGGGAGTATACACACAGCCAAATTGGGAGGGAGTATAGACATACTCGCTGAAGCTGCCCATAGTTCCGATGATCATTATGTTGATGCGAGGGAGTGTAGACATAGCCAAATCAGAAGTACTCGTTAAAGCAGCCCCTGAGTGGCTGGATGTTAATTCAACGCGCCCTCCACCTTCAAATTTTCAACGCACCGCGTTAAAATCGGTGGTTCAACGCCGATTTGACGGGTTTCACCGCGGCCCGGGAACGGGCAAAACGACCCCCTGGGGGGCAGGTACGACGTGTCTGATGTGGTGGGGGTGTGGTGTGGGTGTAGCAGGGGTGCCTGGGGTTCCCCCGCATGCCTTTCAAAAAAAAAAAAAAATAGAAAAAAAATAACAATAAAAAACCGCAACGAGCGGCGAATGGCCCAGTGGTTAGGGCACTGGTCGGAGGTTGCACGCTCAAAACCCCGCAGCCTCGTGCATACGCCGCCGGCAGGGCGTTAGGTTGACGCACTACCACACACACACTGGGCGCGCGTGCGACCAGGGGGCACAGATGCATGGTGCATAGACCTGATATGGGGTCCACCTGAGAGGGTGCCCAGCAGATACTAGCCCTGTATATTCCTGGGTCCTCCGGAACAGCAGGCTCACGCCTCACCTTGGGGTTGCTGGAGGCCATGGGGGGAGACAGCTCTGCGAGGGGCAGGCTCAGTGGGGATGAGTACGGGAGGACCGAAGGGTTCACCCCCTTCCTAGCAGGATTGACTCTCATCACCACAGCACCTGGTGACTGCGGTGGATTGGCCTCCCCGCCAGGTGCCTCCGGGATGCAGGACACTGAGTTCGACGGGGGTGCACCCTGGCACAGCAGTCTGGTAGCTCTGGTCCAGGCTGATACTCCCGGGTGTGTAGCAAGGTCTCTCTTCTCCCCCTCCCCTGAAATTTCCGGTTTTGAGTGAATTCTGAGTTAGCGGGTGAGCCCACTGTGCCGACAGGTGGGCTGAACCCAGCGCGTGAAGCCCCCTGCCGGACTTCCTCCCTGGGTCATATCCCGACACCCCGCAACCCTTTTAAAAATAAAGTTTTTTGGAGGGCAGTGATCATTCGCGTGCGCGGCATTGGGGGTCGGGTGGCCAAGGGATGAGAGGTGGCATTGCCTCAGGGTCCCTCATTTCGATGGTTTGGACATCCGGTGGAGTGAGAGGGAGGGAGAAAAAAAAAGAGATGGCGAGAGAGAGAGAGAGAGAGAGAGAGAGAGAGAGAGAGAGAGAGAGAGAAAGAGAGAGAGAGAGAGAGAGAGAGAGAGAGAGAGAGAGAGAGAG